TATTATAAAAATAATAATATTTTAATATTTTTAAATATATTTTAAAATTAAATATAATATTTTTATTAATTAAATAATATCTCAAACTAAGCCATCTATTAATCTGATTTTCGAACTGGTTTAAATTAAAAATTATTTTAATAAATATATTTTACTGTTGATAAATTTTTTAAACTCTACTAATATTTTTAATTAAAATAATTAAAAATTAATATAAAAAAAATACCCTTGTCAATCTTTTAATTTTGTTTATAAATTTGAAAAATTTTATCTATCAATAATATATAGAATATTAACCAGCAAATTAAGAGGTTTTACAATTGCATTTAAACATTTGGGACTGTTCTCATTTATCTATGTTTTAAAGACTAGTGACAGAGAGAGAGAGAGAGAGAGAGAGAGAGAGAAAGGGCCGCTCAAAAGGACTTTGCACGCCGACAAAAACGTCGGCCCACATGTCGATTCTGTTGCATCTATAAGTCAGAAGTCAACAGTACTGGTCCATGTGCTGTTAAAGTCTATTACACAGTAAGTTAACCAGTTGGCACTCCACAACCAATTCCGTTAGAGCTCTGTTTTCTTTTTGTTTTTTTTTTTTTTGTTTTTTTTAATTATTATTAGGCATATATTTATAAATATTTGTTAAGAATTAATTAATTTTTTTTTATTAACCGGTATTTGTTTTTATTATTAGTATTATTATGCATTTTTTAGTGAATTAAAATGCATTAATTACATATTTTTTCTGTAAATATATTATCATTTTAATTTTTTTTTATAATACATTACAAATATTTAACTCAATTTATTAATGTTTAATTTCTTAAGGAAAGAGTATATTTCAAATCGTCTTTTTTTCAGCTGTAATCATCTGATTGAGTACCAATGCCAAAGGCTTCCTGGCCCAATCATTTGGCGCTGTACGACTAGCTAGGGCTACCAATAGCCTCGATTCTAAGATATTTTCCTTGAGACAATAAATATTTGTAATATAATAATTAATTTCTTTAACGCAATTTCAAAGGAAAAAAAAAAGAAGCTTTCTTTAATGCAATTATTTATTTGTTGTTTTTGTTCTTATGAATTAAAAGTTTGTATCTTCTCTTTATACGTACAATTTATGAAGTTATTGATTGTTTGAACCATTACCTGAAGAGTAGTTAATTTTTTGGATTCAAATTAACTTGTAATTTTATTAATTAAACAATAACTTACAATTATTATATATCTATTAGCATCTATATGCTGCATACCTTATGAAACAAATTAAGGATTAACCTTTTTTCAATTACTTTATCAATAATAACTTACAATAATACATGAAGAGATTTAAAGATCCTTTTGACACGTGTTGGAAGGAATTCCCACAGCGTCACAACTCTCTTTTATGACTGGGTTCCTTCCTCCTACCATGCTGATGAGTTTGTTCGACAATTAATAAAGTTGGACGAAAAAAAATTCATTTGAAGATAGAGATGCTTACATGTGGAGGACATGGCAGGTTTTGTTGTTGTCGAAGGAGCAATCACAGATAACACTATTAGCATAATTTAATTTGGGTTCTACGGTTTTTTCCCACTCGCATGGATCAATATCAAAGTTCCAGTTTGTCTTCCCCAATGTCTTGCCTATGCTTTTCAAAGCTTCCACTATACATACAAATATATAACAAAAAAAAGGGTGAAAATACAAGAAAATAAAAAAGAAGAAAAGAATTAAGCCAAGTTCTTTATCTCTAGACTACTTTGATTAATTACCTTCATCACTTGCAAGTGTAGCTCCTAATGAAAAAGTTGTAAGGCAACAAGCAATGAACATTGAAGCAAAAACAAGTTGAGGGAAGAACATCTTGGAATGTCGTTGAAGAGGAACTGAAGATCTCCTTTGCTCCTTTTGAATGAAGAAAAAATGGCATGAAATATTGGGTTTTAATAAACATGAATATGAAAGTCGAAAGTTTCTATGAAATGAAATAAAGGCAAGAAGAAGAAAATTATTTTGGCCGCCTCATACAGAAAAGAGAAAAGTCAATTATATATTATACTGTGATTGGATGTTTGTATGACTTACCAAACAAAAATGTTGTCATATGGTAGAAGTTGTATAAATATCACGCATGAAAATTTAATGAAAACAAGGTCTCATATATATATAATGATGGAAATTGAAATCCAGCTTCCTTTATTTAATGGTTTGTACGTACTTGTCCTCAAGAATATTATCTTCGTCGATATATATATATATATATATATATATATATATATATCAAGTTATGAGAAAATGTAAAAAATCACAGTCAACGTAATTGCAACTATTGTTAGTCCGGGGCAATTAAAAATGAAAATTACACCAACCATTTTCAGCCAAATATGGTTGCTAGATATATGCATTTAGTCTCTTATTAAAGTCAAGCTCAAATTTTCATTTTTTCCCTCTATTTTATGATTAGAAAATAATAGATTTAAAGCATATAAAAAATAATTGGATATCATGATATGTATACATTGTTAGTGAAGTGTAAAAACCTATAAAAACAAATTTATATTTGTAAGTTTGTATATATGACTAGATCTATTCAAAAGTTGAATTATTTGTCCAAGTCTAAATATCCATTTGAGTTTTAATAAGATTTAGATAAAAAAATTAAAACTCGTTAAATAAATTTGAGTACAATTTTTAGATCCATTTAAATTTTGGATCGAGTTTTGAAAAAAAAAAAAAGCTTGAGTCCAACCTGATCCAAATTCACATATATGTAAATTATTTATTTATATATATAAATTATATATAAATTAATTCACATACATATAAAAATTAAAAATAAAAATTATATATATTTAATTAAACTTATTAAAAATAAAATTGATATAAAAATAACAATTAAGTTTAATAAATATATATAATTTTTATTTTTATATTTATGTGAATTAAATATAATCCCATTCAATTTAATTTGATCATATTTTAAAATTTTTTTATATGAATTAAGTTTAATGGGTGAGTTTGAAATTTATTTATTTTAATTTGGATTGGATTTAAAAAAAATTTTAAGTTTAAAATTTCATGCCAAACCGGATTTAGACAAATAAATAAACTATTAATATCAAGCATGAACTGACTTGATCAACTCATAAACACTTATATGACATTTCATGATAATATTTAATTAAATGGATTTTATAAATTAATAATTTTATGATTTATAGCGATTCTCTTAAATATTACTAACAACTGATTAAAAAAAAAATTTTCTTTTACTAGTTGTTATTAAATTTTTAAAGCAAACCAAGGTTCTCAATGTGAAAAATACCTATTAGTAGGTTTTTTTTTGTCAAAGATGAAACATTGTTAGATTAATTAGGTTAAAAAAATGTTTTAAAAACAAAAAAATAATTAAAATTACTATTTTGAAAAGTATTTCATTCAATATATTAAAACCCATTGTGTATATATATCTAACAAGTGTTGCATTTAATATGAAAATATTTTTGTGAACAATACCTTAATTTAAAGAAATTAACAAATTAATTATACATTAAAAAATACTTATTACGAAGTAAAAAGTAAAACCAAAATATGTTTTATTTGAGAAATTAAAAAATAATTTATTAATATTTTTAGATTACACGATGATCCATATATAATAACAAACGAATAATGCTATTTGATTCAAAATTTTTATCTCTTTTATTTATCTTTTTTAATGTAGCAAAATTTCATTGGATGATCTATTAAGGTAACAAAATTTTATTGAATAATCTAAAAAAGAGATCTGTCCTTTTTTAACCGATAACTTTGATTATGAATACAATGTTTAATTTGAAATCACTAACTTTTATCGCATAAAAAGTCAAATAATATAAACAAAATGTAAGATCAAAACGCGTAGATTGAGTTTGACTGATAGATTAAAGATGGTGGGGTGCAAGTTAAAGTCAAGAGCATTTATATATTCAGAAACGCAACTTTACAAGTGAATGTGATAGACATTTATTTTTTCCATTAATTGTCACTTAGAATAAATATGTATGTTGAAATGATCGATTTATATTAATATAACTTTTATATTTTTTTTAAAATTTTGAATCGAAATTAAATTTATAATTCATTTAAATCAAAATAATATTTTAAATTTGATATTAGTTTAAAATTTTAAATATATATAAAAATTATATTAATATAAATAAACCCTTATTATATATATTTATTTATTTATTTAGATACTTCACTTTTTGTTAATATTAAACCAGGGATGGATGCAAGTGTTATAGTAGGGTGTCCATGGCCTACTGTCGATATGCTACTGTGCGTCTGGCTCTTAGGGGCACTATTTCTTCAAGATGCTGGTAAAGTCTCTTCATCACCTGAGAGTTGGATTCGTCAGGAAGAGTGCTTGAATCTGTAATCAATCCCTAAACAGCAGCCTTGCCTTCAAGCATGCATATCTCACAGATAGAGGACATGGCAGGCTGTTAATACTGGATACGGCCTTTTTTTGTTGACTCGTATTTTTCAGAGGGCAATTCAACAACTGTTTAACAAATTAAAAGTGTTTTGCCCTGGATGTTCCATTGTTGCCGGTGAAAGCAGATTGCCTTTACACAGGGATGGCAAAAACTGCTATAGAATTCTTAACATATTGCATCGAGAAGTTTAAAGAAAAAGAAAGCTAGGTGTGCAAAAAATAACAACCATATGTGACCATTTACATTTTGCTTTATGGGAAAAATGTCCTAAGACTTCCTTTTTTTTTTCCCAGTTCATTTGCTAAATTACATAAAAGCAAAGTCTTTCTCATTTCAATCAAGACAGTTTGCTTGATTTGTTTAGTCTCTACTCTGCCAATAATCGGAAGTTAAACTGACTGGATAGAGATCAGCAGCAGATGTAGAAGAAGTCCATGCTCCAACTGTTGACGTGCTGTGTGTCTGGCTCTCAGGGGCACTCTTTTCTTCAAGATGCTGGTAAAGCTTTTTCATAGCCTGAGAGTTCGATTTGTCGGGAAAAGTGCTTGAATCTGTAACAAAATCCTGAACAGCTGCCTTGCCTTCAAGCATGCTAACTACAGAGGACATGGCAGGCCTAGCTGCCGCATTAACATTAGTACATAGGAGAGCAACATTGATCATTGCCATCACCTCTTCTTTGTTGTAATCAGAGCCCATCCTTGGATCAACTAAATCCAATAAACTCCCTTGCTCCTTCAAAACCTGGAAACAACAGGAAGATTGAATTGATAAGCTTCAACTGATAAAATAGGAAAGAAAAACAATATATCCTGTGAAATGCAGTCTTAGCTAGAATAGGAGTTCTAGTACTATAACATTACCCAATCAAGAGCATAAAAACATTCTTCCTTCGGACGGTAACTGGTGTTGCTCCTCCCACTAACAATTTCCAATGCCACTATCCCAAAACTATAAACATCTGCTTTTAATCAGTTAAGTAACCACGCATTGCATATTCAGCAGCCATATAGCCACCGCAGAGTTAAAAATATTAATTTAGTACAACATTATAGTCTTCCATATTTTGCATTTAAAATATTGCAATAACTACGTCCTTGCAACAGTACTGACTCAACTTGCATTGAAAAGTATACCTATCCTAGAAATTTCTGTACTGTTAAAGATCTGTTTGCACCTTTGTCTCTCTCAGGGAGTTTCTATTACTTGTTGGAATTTATTAAAAAAAGGTTGTAAAATATATTAAGGAACATATTCATAAGCAATCAGAACAGTGATGCTTACAAAGTTCCGGCAACTCGGGTGCTAATATGAGTATTATCCTCTTCATCAAGCTTGGCCAAACCAAAATCTGATATTTTGGGGTTTAAATTCTTGTTAAGCAACATTTGTGGCCTTGATGTCTCTATGCAGAATCTTCAACCTAGATTCTTCATGGAGATATGCCAAACCTCTTGCTATTCCAAGGCAGATTTTCTGTCTTGTTGGCCAATCTAATTTCAATTGACATTCTTCCGGACCTTTTAATAACCAAATAAAGAATAGGTCAGACATTTTGTTTGTTTTGTACATATACATGCATGAATAGCTTCAAAACCAGGCAATCGAATGAATGATGTGGCTAAAACCTACCAAACAATGCACGAGCAAGTCTGTTGTTTTCGATGTACTCATATATCAGTAACAGTTGATTTCCTTCTGTACAAAAACCAAATAGCTTTACCAGATGAGGGTGTTGCAGAGCAGAAATCATTCCAATTTCATTCACAAACTCACGGTTTCCTTGCTTTGATTTAGCAGATAACTGCTTAACCGCTATTACTGTGCCATCTGCCAGAATGCCCTGCATTTGAGAAATTTTACCAACATCAATTTTCAATAAGATATGTTGGAGGAAGAGCTGCAACAGGAACATTGCGAGTGGAAGGAATAAGAAGAAAGTATTTGTGGAACATTATACCTTGTAAAAAGGACCAAAGCCTCCTTCTCCAATTTTGTTAGCAACATCAAAATTATTTGTAGCAGTTTTGATTTGCCCCAAGCTAAAAGAACCAGTCTGCAAGTCGAGACCTTTTAGATCTGTGGAAGAAGAAAAGCAAGATTAATTAGGACCTTTTATGTGATAGCTACTAAAATCTTAGGTGTCCTGTTGTCTAGAGGCAAATTTAAGTGGAAACGTGTAAGTGGTATGCTATCCATTCCAAGCTGAACTGAGGGAAAATGGGATGGGGAGGTAACAACCAATAATATTTGCAATTTTGCATGACCATATTCATTTCTACAAGTTGAAAAGAGCTGGTACTATAACAAAATCTTGATTTCACTACAAATACCTTGTTCCAATGTGCTCTTTTGTCTTAAACAGCCTTTCCACCAAAGTATGCCCCCAATGAGAAATATGGCAAATGCTAGTCGAGCTACAATTCCAACTACTGCACCCAGAGATATACCACTTCTACCCCCATTTTCTGATGGAGGTAAAAAATCTGCTCGAAGAAAATTATAGAAGAGTTACACAGATGGGATGACTGATGACATTATTTTTCTGAATGCTTAATCCAACCAACTGGAAACCATGAAGAATACAGATTGGACGAAAGAAAAGAATTCTTAAGCATCAAACTGAAAGAAAGGGGGAAAGAAGAAGTGAAACAAAAATGAAAATGTTCTTTTTTTGTACAACAATAATGACTCATATAAAGCTGATTCGTAGAATATTAAGGAAACACAAGTACCAAAAGTTGAACAAGATTACCTAGCTATATTATTAGTACATTATTGCAGTGCCTTGACAAAATGGACATCCAACAATGAGGGTCTAGAAGAAGAATCGTATGATAATGTACAACGTACCAGGATTCACAGATATAGCTGATATAAGAGGACCATAAACTCCTCTAACAGGAATACCAGTTGTCCCTTTTCCAGCCCAATGAAAACGGATCTCCAAGGTACTATTAGTTACCACTACAGTAAATTTCTTTATGATTGCCTTGCCAACTCCACCAGCTTCTTCCTCAATGGTAAAATCCTTCTGCACCAGCTTGCCCTGAGATTTGCTATTCTAGTTAACTGAAAATTTCATGCGCACACATATTACGAAGTTCTTTTTGCTCAGTTTTAGAGTGTAATAGAAATTATAGGCCAAAGCTCATAATATTGTTTTACGTTTGTCTAACTACATAACTTTGTTAGTAAGAACTATATTGAATAACTACCTGAAGGTAAATATCAAATATGCGCCTTCCCAAGCTGTTATATGTATCGTCATTAGTGAACATTATCTCTACGAAATGGAGGTTCACAGTGTAGTTTCCGTTGCCCAGGCAGAATCCATAGTAAGTCAAAGAAATGGGAGAAAGGCGTGCGTTCATGTATAGTTGGGAATCATCCATGGATAGTTCAGATGAATTTGTCCAAGTATAGGTGTTTGTTTCACGGTCATCATCCAAGAAGTGACCAGTGCTGCTAAATGCCCAATTACTTGTACTTTGAAAAAATCTTGAAGGTCCAGCTCCATCTGTATCATCTTCATATGTGGTATTTCCACCAATAGTTACATCTCTTCCCCCACAGTTTATATGGAGAGAGTACCAAGCTGAGACATAAGAAACAACAGCTAAAAAACTATTGAAGAATTATACTCTTCAGCCTTCAGAATGAAATGTTTCACACAAATAAGAAGAAGAGTTACTCAGGGGTACTCTTTTCAATCTAGAAAGTATTGCATAGTTTCATTGACAATCTTTAAACTCTTGCCTTGATAACTATCGGCTAAGGTACAAGTTTAAACAGACATAGCAATCAGCTGTACAAGAGTCATGTAGATAATGGATCCCAACAGCAGAGTTTCAAGCTCAAACGTGACAGCAGACTGGCCAAGCACTTAGAATGGTTAGAGCATATGCAGAAAGATTGGTGACCTTTGAAAGAAAAGCAGAGTATCCTGAATTATCACTTTGCAATTCAATGCTAAAGCATTGTCAATGAAAATATATTCACGAAGCTAGAATTTAGAAACTACCAGGTGAATTCAATGGGATATATCAAAACATCTTAACATTCTTTAAGATGACTTACATTTTGGGCAATGAAAGCTTCTCAAACAAAAAACAGATCCCCTGATAAACAATAGATTGTCCAGAAAATGTCAGCCTTGACAGCAAAATATCATATCGCTGAGAATACCAAAAGTTTAAGAATACCCTTATAGAATAAAAAAGAAAAAAAAAAAAAAGAGAAAAGAAGCAAAGGCTTACGAGGTATTGCTACGCGAAGTGCTTGCAAACAAATTCCTACAGAAAATATTACAGATACAAAGTCATTGTTAGTGTAATACCCCAGCCCAAATAATAATTGGGCTAGACTAATATTAAAGCCCATTAGTTTATTAAGACATTATTTAGTAAAAAAAAAAAAAGACTGAAGTATTAAATTAAAGAAAACTTAACTATTGTGAAACAGAAAGGAAATAGAGTTCTTCTTTTTCATCTTCCTTAGGGTTAGAGAATATGAAAAATCAAGTTGGAGATTCACAATCAGAGTCTACAATCAAGTTAATCTCTTAAAGGTGAGTACATGCCTTCTTTTTATTTGAAAAGAAATATCAAGTTGATTGCTATTTTTTGGAGTTGAAGTTTTGAGAGAAAAACCAAGAAAAATCATGAAATCCTTCATTAATCTTGATGATCTATTTGGGTCAATTACTGGGCTTTGTTTATTTCATGTTCTTAAGATTTATTGATGATTATTGAATGGAGTTTGAAGGCTAAAAGTAAGGATTTGAGTTTTTAAAGATTGAAGGAGAAATTCTATTTTTGGATAAGATGTTGTGATATGTAATAATGAATTAAAATAGAATTTTGCATTAATGGATAGATTATTGCTGTGATTATTATATATCATTGGAAAGCATGCTGAATCTAGTTTTTAATGAAACAAACGAAAGTCAAATCCGAGTTTTCTATGAAGAGTTGTCTAATTTTAACTTAAAGATATGCAGGCTGTAAGACAACAGCATCAGGGTTGAATTACGAAATTCTTCTTAATTTGTATACAATGATTTACAGATTAAGCCATATATTTTTGGAAAGCTTATTGAGTCTACTTTCCAATGAAATAAGCGAAATTGAATTTGGAGTTTCCTGTGAATAAATATATAATTTTTATTAGAAGGTATACAGGCTATTTGGCAGCAGTATATGACTTGGATTTCAAAAATTGTTATAATTAATCTACAAGGAATTACGAGTGTGCCATATATGGTTAGAAAGCTTATTAAGTCTAGTTTCTAACACATTAAAGAGATCATAATTCTGATTTGGATATATTGAGTATGATTGTTTTAATGAAAAGAGGTCAGGCTGCCAGTATTAATTAGTTAAGTTAACCCTTTGTGTAACTTAGTTGATTTTTGTATAAATGGTCTCAAAAAGGGTTGATTAAATTCTGATCTATTGAAATGATCTTGGATAGGCTATTAATTATTTTGGGGGGAAAAACTAAGTGGTGGAATCGAATGGAGGTAAGTATAATCTCACACACTTTGCTTGTTTTCGAATCTAAGTATATATATCTGTTTCTAAATGAAAGAATGTTTTATTTCTTTATTTTCAATGTATGAAGATAGGATCAAGCATATGATTATTTTGTGTTTCTCTATATAAATGATGGATCATGCTTATGAATGAAATGAGAAAATGATTTATGTTTAAAGAATGATTTTATGATGGCTACGTTTTTATATCCCTGGGAAGTGGGATCATCGACACCATAACTTAGTTCTATGACCTTGGCTAACGGGTAATAATAGTTAGCAAAGACATGATCATACGATCCTGGCTAACGGGTAATAGTAGTTAGCGTAAGCCCTGGCTAACGGGTTATAATAGTTAGCAATGATCATGAGAATGAAATTGTCAATACGACCAATGTCATGGGTTATAACAGTGATCGTAGCTAACGATTTGAATGATAATGATGATTTATGATAATGATGATTTACGATGATTTTTAATGATTGATCCGTGATTTGGTTTGATTATGATGTTTGAATGATAGCATATTTTATAATGATTTATGAAGTGACATATTTTGACATTGATTTATGAATTTATGAAATATTTGACAAAACGATGATCTTGAAATATTTTGATATTATGATTTGATGAATGTTTTGAATTATCTATATGATGTGTAAGAAAACGATGCTTGATCTGATAAGGTGTGTGAGCTTATACTTACTAAGCTGTGGTTTGCTCATTCCCTTTTTACTTTTTCTTTACAGATGACTAAGTGATAAGTTTGGTTAGTCTTATGTGAAGCTAGAAGATGAAATGGGTATGATTACTTAATCGTCAGAGAATATGTTGGCCAATGAGATTTTAAGAGGCAGTTTTGTATTTTATATGGTTTGTATTTGAATATATAAAGAGATATCATCAGTTGGATTAAAGATATGAATTTTACTTGGTATATTGTTTTATTGAAGAATTTTAGAATGTTTAAGAAAGAAGGCTTCGTATTACTTTGAGATTTTCTTCAAGGTAATATGGCCGTGTTATGCCTCGATTCGGGGCGTGACAAAAGTGGTATCAGAGCTTAGTTAGGATCTTTGGAGAATTTTAAGAGGTAGATTATGATTTGCAGATTGTGTTGAGATTTTTTTTTTTTTAAAGCTTAAGTTATGTTTCTTGGAGATTTTTTAAGAATTCAGGTTATGAGACGTTAAGGAGCTTATAATATGATTTTGAAGATTTTCTAAGAACTACGATTATGATCTTTGAAGATTTTTAAGAATTTAGATGATAACCTCTAGAGAATGTGATGATGTTCCAAAAACATAGTTTAATCCATAGACTGTAGTGGTGAGTATGACTAAATGATTCGATAAATTTTTGGAGTAGTTAAAGTTTCAATGAATTTTGAGGAATCAATGATTCAATGGATTCTTGGTGTAGTTATTTTGTTGATATTTATATATTGCTTTGGATTTTGTAGTGAAGAGAAAGTGTAATTACTCTGATATAGGTGTGATTTATAAGTTGAAGAGATTTTTTTACGCCACTTTCATTGAGATATATTTTATAAGTTTAAAAGATTATATTAAGATACGATATGATCGTTGGAGATCTTATGGGTTTGAGAACAAAGGGACCTTTTTGAACTTAATGAGGTTTTGAAATGTATTTGATAAATGTGTTAAGTGAATCATTTGATTAAGGATGAAGATTAGAAATAGGAGTGTACATTGTTGGAATTAAAAGTGTAGAATATTGGAGTTGGGAATGAAATGATATGTTGGAAATTTTGAATGCAATTATTTATAGATTATAATGTTGGAGAATTTATTGTGATGGGATTTAGTCTAAATTGTTATAATTGTGGTAAATAGCTTTATATACGTAAAGAAGGATGTTCACTTGATTTGGTTCTACATTTTTATTAAGAAAGTATTTAAGGTTTGATTTTGCAAGTTGGATGTTTGTATAGTTAATTTAAAGTTTGATCATTAAATTTCTATTTGAGGTGTACTGATATTTTTTTTAATGGCTAAACTGATTAATTTGTAGTTATAGTTTTTAATTGAAGTATACTATTGGATTCCTTCGAATTTTATATTTATGGAGAACATGGCCTATTGTGGTATAGGGTTGTATACTTAGCAAGGAATTAAAATTGTGTTTATCTAGATGATTTAGTAAGGAAGTTGGTTTTAAAAGAGTAATCAATTTACAGAAAAATATGCATGTTTTGGTTAAGAATGATTGTTTGAAATCTTACAAGTGCAAATTATTGTTTGAATTTTACAAGGGCAAAAGATTGGTTGAAATCTTGCAAGTGATGATTTTGTGTATTTGGCGATGCTGAACATCTATTCAATTTTAGAGAAGTTTGAAAGAACTTCTGAAATAATGTGATGCATTTGGCTATTATTCATAATTATACTTTTGGTGTGAATTCAAGTGTTTGGAGTTCTTATTGGTTCAAACTTTATAAAAGAAATTTTTTTTTGGATTATGATGCATAGTTTTTAACTTTGACATGAAGGTGATAGCAATATATTTGGTAAAAAGAGAATTTGAGACATTATGATGTTTGTGGGGATTATGAAAAATCAATTGTTATATGATAATTCGTATATTAGAAAGAATAATATTCGCAATTGAAGACAACTTTGATAATTACAGATTTATGTTTGAATTTACATGGTATAAATTTATGGATATGATCTATTGCATTCATGTCATATGTATTCTAGTGGTTAATTGATAGAAAATTTTATGTTGTCAGTGGAAAAGAAAAGAAAATTAAAGTATTATGTGATATCTTTTTGGTGACAAAATGATTTGTTGATATTGTTATTCAAGGTTGTTATGGTTATGAACACATGGTGTGAAGCATATTACAAGGAATTTTGTGGACACATGCTTTTCTAGTTACAAAACAATGTTATGAAAGTTAATTTGTTTGAATTTTATTGGAAAGAAATATCAGAGTGCGCAGTGGAAGCTTGATTTAATTTTAAGTTCTAAATTGTTGTGCTATTATTAGTTGAGAAAGTGATGAATCTTTAATAAATAAAGAATATTGTCACCTCTGATGTTTAGTGTATATGATGAATCTATGTTAAGAGAATATCTTAGTAAAAGCTTTGTGATTGGATATGAGTATTTAGAAATTCAAGATGATATGAGTTTTAACATATTGAAATATCTTTTTTTTTTTCGAATGATTGATTAGAAAGAATAAGTTTTGAGGCAAGATGATTATTTTTTTTCAAAGTTCAATGAAACAATCATACGGTAAGAGATATGATTACAAAACTAGAGGAATGAGATATTGATGTAAATCAAGTTTCGAGGACGAAACTTCTTATAAGGAGGGGAGAATGTAATACCCCAACTCAAATAATAATTGGGCTAGACTAATACTAAAGCCCATCAGTTTATTAAGACATTATTTAGTAAAAAAAAAAGGGCTGAAGTATTAGATGAAAGAAAACCTAACTATCGTGAAACAGAAAGGAAATAGAGTTCTTCTTTTTCATCTTCCTTAGGGTTAGAGAATATGAAAAATCAAGTTGGAGATTCACAATCAAAGGCTACAATCAAGTTAATCCCTTAAAGGTGAGTACATGCCTTCTTTTTATTTGAAAAGAAATATCAAGTTGATTGCTATTTTTTGGAGTTAAAGTTTTGAGAGAAAAACTAAGAAAAATCATGAAATCCTTCATTAATCTTGATGATCTATTTGGGTCAATTACTGGGCTTTGTTTATTTCATGTTCTTAAGATTTATTGATGATTATTGAATGGAGTTTGAAGGCTAAAAGTAAGGATTTGAGTTTTTAAAGATTGAAGGAGAAATTCTATTTTTGGATAAGATGTTGTGATATGTAATAATGAATTAAAATAGAATTTTGCATTAATGGATAGATTATTGCTGTGATTATTATATATCATTGGAAAGCATGCTGAATCTAGTTTTTAATGAAACAAACGAAAGTCAAATCCGAGTTTTCTATAAAGAGTTGTCTAATTTTAACTTAAGGATATGCAGGCTGTAAGACAACAGCATCAGAGTTAAATTACGAAATTCTTCTTAATTTGTATACAATGATTTACAGATTAAGCCATATATTTTTGGAAAGCTTATTAAGTCTACTTTCCAATGAAATAAGCGAAATTGAATTTGGAGTTTCCTGTGAATAAATATATAGTTTTTATTAGAAGGTATACAGGCTGTTTGGCAGCAGTATATGACGTGGATTTCAAAAATTGTTATAATTAATCTACAAGGAATTACGAGGTATGCTATATATGGTTAGAAAGCTTATTAAGTCTAGTTTCTAACGCATTAAAGAGATCATAATTCTGATTTGGATATATTGAGATATGACTGTTTTAATGAAAAGAGGTCAGGCTGCCAGTATTAATTAGTTAAGTTAACCCTTTGTGTAATTTAGTTGATTTTTATATAAATGGTCTCAAAAAGGGTTGATTAAATTCTGATCTATTGAAATGATCTTGGATAGGCTATTAATTATTTTGGGGGGAAAAACTAAGTGGTGGAATCGAATGGAGGTAAGTATAATCTCACACACTTTGCTTGTTTTCGAATCTAAGTATATATATCTGTTTCTAAATGAAAGAATGTTTTATTTCTTTATTTTCAATGTATGAAGATAGGATCAAGCATATGATTATTTTGTGTTTCTCTATATAAATGATGGATCATGCTTATGAATGAAATGAGAAAATGATTTATGTTTAAAGAATGATTTTATGATGGCTACGTTTTTATATCCCTGGGAAGTGGGATCATCGACACCATAACTTAGTTCTATGACCTTGGCTAACGGGTAATAATAGTTAGCAAAGACATGATCATACGATCCTGGCTAACGGGTAATAGTAGTTAGCGTAAGCCCTGGCTAACGGGTTATAATAGTTAGCAATGATCATGAGAATGAAATTGTCAATACGACCAATGTCATGGGTTATAACAGTGATCGTAGCTAACGATTTGAATGATAATGATGATTTATGATAATGATGATTTACGATGATTTTTAATGATTGATCAATGATTTGGTTTGATTATGATGTTTGAATGATAGCATATTTTACAATGATTTATGAAGTGACATATTTTGACATTGATTTATGAATTTATGAAATATTTGACAAAACGATGATCTTGAAATGTTTTGATATTATGATTTGATGAATGTTTTGAATGATCTATATGATGTTTAAGAAAACGATGCTTGATCTGATAAGATGTGTGAGCCTATATTTACTGAGCTGTGGTTTGCTCATTCCCCTTTTACTTTTTCTTTACAGATGACTAAGTGATAAGTTTGGTTAGTCTTATGTGGAGCTAGAAGATGAAATGGGTATGATTACTTAATCGTCAGAGAATATGTTGGCCAATGAGATTTTAAGAGACAGTTTTGTATTTTATATGGTTTGTATTTGGATATATAAAGATATATCATCAGTTGGATTAAAGATATAAATTTTACTTGGTATATTGTTTTATTGAAGAATTTTAGATTGTTTAAGAAAGAAGGCTTCATATTACTTTGAGATTTTCTTCAAGGTAATATGGTCGTGTTATGCCTCAATTCGAGGCGTGACAAAAGTGGTATCAGAGCTTAAGTTACGATCTTTGGAGAATTTTAAGAGGTAGATTATGATTTATAGATTGTGTTGAGATTTTTTTTTTTAAAAGCTTAAGTTATGTTTCTTGGAGATTTTCTAAGAATTCAGGTTATGAGACGTTAAGGAGCTTATAATATGATTTTGAAGATTTTCTAAGAACTACGATTATGATCTTTGGAGATTTTTAAGAATTTAGATGATGACCTCTAGAGAAAGTGATGATCTTCCAAAGACATATACTTTGAGATTTTAAGAGGCAATTTTGTATTTTATATGATTTGTATTTGGATATATAAAGATATATCATCAGTTGGATTAAATATATGAATTTTACTTGGTATATTGTTTTATTGAAGAATTTTAGAATGTTTAAAAAAGAAAGCTTCGTATTACTTTGAGATTTTCTTCAAGGTAATATGGCCGTGTTATGCCTCGATTCGGGGCGTGACAGTTAGTGGCTGAAATATCCATACACTCACACCCACCAAAAGAACAAACACTTAAAATGATAAGATTCTTACACGCTCCGCTGTTGACAACTTGATGTCCCTTGGCTTCCAGCTGTGAAATTGTTGTAGGAAAGATCACTGCACAAAATAGTATTTATAAACAATCTAATGTTTTGTTAAGTATATCTATGGTTTTTGCGTTTAATTTGTTCTAAGTGCCGCGTGAGTTGCTATTCCAATCCCATTATGCAGTCACCTTTAAGCAGGATTTTAAAAATTGAGCTCTAAGAAGAGCTACAAAGGCTTTTGCACAAATCTAATGAGCGCCGATTGTGAACCAATATATCAAAGTTCTTTCCAGAGAGTGAAAATCTTGGAAGAGAATCTTACACATTGTCTCCATTTTCCAGTATCCAAGTAGGGACTGATCCAGTAAGCAAATTTCTAGTCAAATACCTGATGAAAAATAATAGTAACTTAATGAAATCAGACATTTTGCATTAAATGACAAAAAATTGATAGCGCAATTCCTTACTTGTGATGCCAAACAGGAACATATGAAAATAGAATTACTGATATTTAAACCTCAACAGCACATTAATATTTTTGGTAAACACTTCAATTTTTTTTTTTTTGGCTAACTGAGGTTCAAACTCGAGACCCTCAACCCCGGATTCAACTCCATTGTATAATACTAACGTCTAGTTGATAGAATTAAATGTAGACATCTTCTGACAGAGGAGACAAGTTTGGTTTATAAGACATCAAGAATGGTTATGTATTTTAAATTGCTGATATAGATTGAATGATGTATACTGTAGCCATGTATTACTAATTAAGTAATTTCATTGGATCAGCAAGAACAGTTTGACATCTCAGTAAAGGCTGCTTGCACTTTGTGGGAGGAAAATTTACCGTCAAAGATCAATCACTTACAAGTAATTCACACCCCCAAGGCCAGATAAATTGCTTGGAATTTCTCCACTGAGTTTGCTAAAGCTGAGATCTCTGCAAAATGAAAACAAAAACTTACAAACTCAAAGGTATTATTATAACCACATTTTGTCTGAGTGCAGTTTCTCCAGCTCTCAGATAAACAAGTTTGAAAAGAAAGGCTTAATATTTCTGAGCAGCACAGTGAAATTCATAACTACAGAGATAAGAGAGGAGAAACAAAGAAACAAAATCAAAATGGAGACGCAACAGAACATATCATCATCATAAACACTGTAAAAACTACACGAACTAGTGGAAGAAATCGGGTTTATAACTCACAAGGTCTTCAATTTTGTCATATCCTCTAAATATTTAGGTAGCTCTCCAATGAGATTGCAACTTCTCAATATCCTGTAATACAACCACAAATATCTCTTATTTGAGTTACAAAAGAGTTATTGATATGTTTAATGGAATCTTATTCATTGTAGAATTTTACTTACAGTGTCTTCAGATTTTTCATGCTACTAAGTGGTGGAAAAGTTGCATCAGTTCCATTCAAGTCACTAATTCTCCTGTTCATCAATATTTTTCATAAATAATAAACATCATAATGCAATGTCCAATACTTAGAAAAATGAGATCCATCTTACAAGTCAGTTAAATTTTCCAGGGCACTAATGCTTGATGGAATTGGTCCGGTTAGACCACAACATTTCATTTAGCTATGTAAATGATCAAGCAAAATTCTAACGAATAAACAACTGTAAAAGGCATTAGTAATATCAAAGCTCTTACAAAGTTTCAAGGTTTGTCCAATTATGGATGAAGTTAGGGATTTCCCCTGTGAAGTGGTTATCACTAATCCGACTGTTGATCAAACAAAATTATCAGAAGTAGCATTGTAACGTAGTAATTAAGCCTGATAACTCAAAAAAATTAAAAGCTTACAAGTCCTTCAATGTGGTCAGCTTAGCAAATGTTTGAGATTGAAGGATTTAGAGCAGAGGAAGAACAAAAAACAGAAGAAACTAATCTGTCACTTGAAGTAAATTGGCTCATCAGATCATGAGCTTCATTTCATTAATTTATAGGCTTCAAAAATACAAAAGTTTGTTTAACTACTACAAAAGTTGTTTGCCTAACAGTATGGATCACCATGCACAGATCCATCATGTTACCTAAACTGATCGATGGCAGAACTTGTTACAAAAGTGCCAGTAGAAATGCCATACCTAGTTGCTTCAACCACTAACACACTAACACTCCTCCTTGGCATTTATGCTAGAAACACCAAGACTTTTCCTTAATGTTTCAAACCTTGCCTTTGGTAAGGCCTTGGTTAGAATATCTACAATTTGATCTTCTGACTTGCAATGCACCAGTTTCACTTCATTCTCAGCTTCAACTTCTCTAATAAAGTGATACTTGATCTTAATATGCTTAGTTCTTCCATGAAATACAGGGTTCTTGACCATTGCAACTGTTGAATGATTATCACAAAAAATTTCTATTGGATCATCTTGCTTTTGACTCAAATCCATCAGAATTTTCCTTAGCCAAATTGCTTGATTAACAGCAGCTGCAACAGCTATATACTCTGCTTCTACTGTTGATTGAGCCACAGTTCCTTGTTTATTTGAATTCCAGCTAAACACATTTAATCCAACGAAAAACACATAGCCTGAAGTACTTTTCATGTCTTCATAAGAGCCAACCCAATCACTGTCTGTGAATCCAACCAATCTTGAACTTTCATTCTTCTTGAACCAAATTCCAAGTTCATTGGTTCCTTTGACATATCTCAACACTCTTTTTGCAACCTTAAAATGCAACTCACTAGGATTTTGCATAAACCTAGAAAGTAAATTTGTAGCATAAATGATGTCTGGCCTTGTTGCCGTCAAATACAATAAGCAACCAACCAAGCTTTTATAAATAGAACCATCAACTTTGTTAGCTCCATCTTCCTTAATAAGTTTCTCATTTTGAGCCAAAAGAGTGTTGACTGGTTTGCAATTTTCCATCCCAAACTTATTCAAGATTTCATTTGCATATTTTCTTTGACAAATGAAGATTCTTTGCTGGTCTTGATGAATCCCCATTCCAAGAAAATAAGACATTTCTCCCATATCTGTCATCTCAAAAATTTCTTGCATTTGGAGCTTAAAATCCTCCATAAGAGCTGATTTGCTACCTGTCACTAAAAGATCATCAACATATAAAGAAACAATCAACAGATCATTACTATTAAAAACTTTAATGTACAATGTTGCTTCACAGAGGCTTTTCTTGAATCCTAACTTCAGTAAATGATCATCAATTTTGGAATTCCACACTCTTGAAGCTTGTTTTAATCCATATAAAGCCTTCTTGAGTAGATAGACTTTGCCTTCATGTCTCTTGACAACAAAACTATTAGGTTATTTAATGTAGATCTCCTCCTCAAGATAACCATTCAAGAAGACAGATTTGACATCAAGTTGGTATATTTTCCAACTTTGCTGAGTTGCTAAGGCTAATAGCAGCCTTATGGTGTCCAACCTTGCAATTGGAGCAAATATCTCTGAAAAATCAACACCAAGCTATTGGAAGTAGCCTTTAGCTACCAGTCTAGCTTTAAGTTTATTGATGGAACCATCAGCATTCAACTTTGTTCTGAAAATCCATTTAACACCAATGATGTTTTTGTTGCTTGGTCTGTCAACTAGCATCCATGTTTGATTTTTCTCAATCATATGAATTTCCTCCTTCATGGCATTCCTCCACTCTGAAAATTTGATAACTTCTTCAAAGTTTGCAAGTTCAAAAGTGGCAACATTTGATTTTTGATAAATATCTGTGAGTGGTTTGATTCCTCCACTGGTTCATGATCAATGATTTCATTTTCAAACATATAATCTTTTTAATTATGGAAGCTTATCAAATCTGTAGCAGTTTGCTTGACTGATTCTCTCTTTGACTTTTTCCAATTCCAGGCAGCTTACTCATTAAATCTCACATTCCTACTTACAATCATCTTGCCTGTAAGTGGATTGTAAGTCATATAACTTTTAGTGATGTTACTATAGACCAGAAAAATACATATTTCTATTTTTTGATCAAGTTTGTCCCTTTTGATATCAGGAACAAACACATAACAGATGCTGCCAAAAACTCTGAGGTGGTGCACTGATGGTTTGCTTCCATACCAGGCTTCGAAAGGAGTTTTTCCCTTTAAAGCTTTTGTGGGCAACCTGTTGAGCAAGTAGATAGAGGTATTGACTGCCTCTACCCAAAATTTCTTAAAAAAATTCTTCTCAAATAGCATGCATCTTACCATCTCCATGATTGTTCTATTCTTCCTTTCACTAACTCCATTTTGTTGTGGAGTGTAAGTTTCTGTCAGTTGGTGTTCAATTCTTGCAACTTCACAAAACTCATTAAATTTGTCAGATGTGTATTCAGTACCATTGTCTGACCTTATGATCTTGATTTTGCAGCCACTTTGATTATCAATCCAAGCCTTGAACTTCTAAAATACATTTGCAACTTCAGACTTTTGTTTCATGAAGTAAATCTAACACATTCTGATAAAATCATCTATAAAAGCAATGAAATATCTACTACCATTCAAGGACAAGGTTCTCATAGGACCACAAACATCAGTATGAACAAGTTGTAGTTTTTTAGTTGCCATCCATGCTTTGTTAATTGTAAATGGTAACTTAATTTATTTTTTTAGTTGACAGACTTCACACACTTCAGCACTGACTTCAACAGTAGGCATGTTTAATATAAGATCATTTTTATAAATGAAATTCAATGCATTGTAGTTGAAATGTCCCATCCTTTTATGCCATAAAGAAGATTCACCATGTTAAGTACCATATGCAAAGGAGTTTGCTTCATGCCAATTCAAGGAAAAACATTTTCATTTCATATTAACAGTAAAGAGTTCATGGCCAGTGAGATCATGAATTATGCATGCTTTTTCTTTGAAAACTAAAGAGTAGTTATTTTCTAGCAACTGTCCTACACTTAACATGTTTTGATATTTTTTAGGCACAAATAACACATCTGAAATGAGTTTGGTACCTATTGGTGTCTCAACTGCCACTACTCATTTTCTTTTGACTTCTATGAAATCACCATTACCTATTCTGACTTTATAGGTACAGGTCTTGTCTAGTTCTTTGAACATGTTAATATCAGATGCCATATGGTGTGTGCAACCACTGTCAATGAGCCATGCAATTGAAGACGTTCTAGTTCCATAGCAAGTTGTAACAAAAACTTGCTATGGTAGCTATTGTTGATTGTCAGCAACTCTGGCTTGTTGATTTGGCTGCTGTTATTTTTTGTTTTTACATACTTTTTCCATGTAACCAAGCTACTTATAGTACCTACATTGTATGTCAGGTATGTACCAGTAATATTTCTCCAAGTGAGTGGTCTTTTTACAGTGAGAGCAAGGTGGGAATTTTTTTTTCTTTTCATTGTTTTTAGAACCTTTATTTCTTCGATCTTTTTATTTTCTGCCTTTGCTTTCTGTTTGCATCTTGCCTTTCTCTTTGGCTGTAAAAGCACCTTCTGTTGAATCCTCTTGTCTGATAGCCCTTCTTTGCTCTTGAGCTTGTAAAGCATTGAACAATTCTGTTAGAGTTATCTTGATCAGGTCCTTGAAGTCTTCAAGGGATGAGATTTTTGACTCAAACTTCTCTGGTAAGCTGACAAGAACCTTTTCTACAATTCTTTTATCTGACAGCTCCTCACCAAGTAATCTAATCTTGTTTACTATCTTCATGAGTCTGTCATTGTATTCCTTTAAATTTTCAGACTCCTTTATCTTTAAGATTTCAAACTCTCTTCTAAGATTCATCACTTGCATTTGTTTTATCTTGTCACTGCCTTGAAACTCTTCCTTGAGCACATCCCAAGCTTGTTTTGCAGTTTCACAAGTCATGATTCTAATGAATATGTCATCAGAAACTGAAGACTCAATACAGCTTTTAGCCTTGTACCTCTTTACTTTTTCTTCACTATAATTTTTTATTTAAGTTACTGTTGGATTTGCAGGAAGTTGTGGTGATTCCTTCTCATTTTTCACCACTTCCCACAAATCAAAAGCACTCAAATAAGTCTTCATTTTGACAGCCCATATCTGGTAGTTCTCACCAGAAAAAATAGGAGGTGGAGGTAAGGAGCAATTACTTGAGGCCATTTAAGGTTGACAAAAGCTGGCTGGTAAGTGTTTAATGGCTTTTCACTCAATTTTTGGAACTCACAGGTCCTCTAAGACCTTGAAGAATGCTCTGATACCAATTGAAGGATTTAGAGCAGAGGAAGAACAAAAAACAAAAGAAACTAATCTGTCACTTGAAGTAAATTGGCTCATCAGATCATGAGCTTCATTTCATAATTTATAGGCTTCAAAAATACAAAAGTTTGTTTAACTATTACAAAAGTTGTTTGCCTAACAGTATGGATCACCATGCACAGATCCATCATGTTACCTAAACTGATTAGATGGCAGAACTTGTTACAAAAGTGCTAGTAGAAATGCCACACCTAATTGCTTCAACCACTAACACACTAACAGAGATACTTTCTCAGTAAAATTGTTAGAGCTAAAAAGCCTATATACCAATAAAAAAAATGTAGTATGAGTTAGACATTAAATCAAACTTAATAAAAACAGTAATAAATGAAATTCTTGTGAAGATTTAAAGATTAAGATCTTACATTCTTTCAATTTGGGGTAGATTCCCAAGCTCTGGAGGCGAAGCTCCAGAAAGCTGATTGAACTCAGCTGATCTACATGTTTTTTATGATTAATAAAATTGAGTCAGCTGATATTGATAACAAAGATTCCTATAAATCATCATATTAAAGTAAGAAATACAAGAAACTGGCTATCAACAACTTACATGCTCATAAGAGTACTTATATTTCCTAGCTCTTTTGGGATTGGACCTGTTAAGCTATTTCCAAGAATAGAACTGCAATAATATTCATGCAAGGATAAAAAAAAATTATAAATTTCATATGCATTGTCCATCATAACTGTTGCAAATACATCCCACAATTGCATCATAAGTCATAACTGTTTGCAGAACGTTGCAACTATTCAAACCTTACTGCAAAATCTATCAGCAACAAGATTTGAAAATTTTTGGAAGATATGTTATGCTGCAAAAACTATTTGTGACATTCTTTTCAATAATCTTGCCACTAAATTTTGTTTGTGACAACATTTATTATTGCAACATAATACCTTTTATGCTGTAAGAAAATCAAAAGTCACGAACTATCTGATCAAGTTTCTTATGTAATTAAGTGTCTAATTAATAGAAATATATTATATAAAGAACATACATGTTGACAAGTTGCATGGAACCCCACTCTGGAGGTATTGTGCCATTAAGGAAGTTGCGGCTGAGGTCACTGCAACAACATTAACAGTTTAAGTTTGTTAATGAAATGGAATTTCCATTTTCATGGAGTTGAAAAACTACAATGAAGAAGATTGGAAAATAGTTGAACTTACATTTCTTGGAAGTAAGGGAGCTTGACCAATTCTTTTGGGAGAGTGCCTGGGAGACTCTGTTTCTTAAGCAATCTGTTTCGATAGAAAATTGAGGTTGTGGTGCATAGGACTAACTACCATTGATGTATCAATGCAGTTTTCAAACGAATGAAATGATAATATGATTCATCTTTGAAGTTTTTAAGTTTCATGTCAACATAGTGACCCTTTTTAAGTGATAGATTGTTTTGTAAAAAAGTTAGGAAAGAAGACACTGTTACATTCAAATTTTAAACAACATTTCACTTTATGTTAAAGCCGAGCTAAGACTTCTTTGACAACGTTATAAGAGAGATCTTTATTGCAATACAGCTGAGTTTTATAATTAAATTTTTAAAATTCATTCATAAAACGACATTATAATACGGTAAAAATTCCTCTCATCCTTCTGTCAAAGGAACCTTAATGATTAATGCACTTTTGTATCAACTCTAAGTATGAAAATGAAGTACAAGCTTTGAACCGTCTTAGAAGTTCAAGCTGTTAGAAAAAATACCAATTATTACATTCAAGTTCTAACATGCTTCTATCTGAAATTAAATGTCCATGTTTGACTTAATTTAGAGATTAAGGAAAAAAAATTCTGATTTTAGCTTTTTATCTTATTTTTGAAAAATTTTTTTATAAAATGGATGAATAATAATGTTGGATGCTTAATAATTAATATGAAACATAAAAAAAAAAAAAAATTATAGGTGTTTGGAAAACTAGAAGAGGATATTAAATCTGAGATGGAGAGCAACAAAAAGAAAAAGATAGAATTAAATGCTTAATCCAAATATTCAATGAGAGGTAACTGTATGTCACTAAAAAGGAATGGAATAAATGAGTTTTGATTTAATAGATTTCGTTTCCTGAAATATTTGATTATGAATACAATGTTTAAATTGAAATGAATAACTTTTATCACAGAAAAAGACAAACAAAATAAACAAAATATAAGATCAAAACGAGTATATTGAGTTAGACCGACAGCTTAAAAATGGCAGAGAAAGGTGGGGTGCAAGTCAAAAAGTCATGAGCACTTATAGGTTCAAAAATAGATCTAATAATTTTAAATACGATATAGTGATACAATATAAAAATGACATAAAAAAATTATATATATATATTTTTAAAATATATGTTTTTTGTTTATTTGTACGAGCGACATGACATAATTGTGTCGTATATGTATTGATTTGTCTAAATACATAACACGATATAAATAATATGTTTAATTTAATCTTATCATATGATTATGCTTTTAATATGTTTAACACATTTTTTTATATTTATTTTAATTTAATATATACATATAAAAATTATTTTAATTTTTAATCTTTTAATTATGATATTTATTTAATAATTATTATAAAATTATTTTTATATAATAATATAAATACAATATAAATATTAATATTAGTCCTCTACATTATTATTTTATTTTTTAATCTTTAATAGTTTATCATTTTAAATTTAATATTAAAAATTAATATAGTTATGTAATATAAATTAAAATTTAAATATATATATTAAATACCTGTTAAATGAATATTAAATTTTTTTATTTTTTAATATGTAAATACTTTTTTATATTATTAACATGTCAAATTTATTAAGTTATAAATAATGAATAGTTTATAACTATTTATTATTTTAATTGTATTTTTGTATATATTCAGTTTAGTAATGTCTATTTATGTAAATCCATACTAATCATATTTATTTGTATATATTCATATTATTCGTGTCTTATTTAAATTAATTAATTATACACATATTAATTGTGTCATGTCACATGTGATACGTATATTAAACGCATCATGTTCGTGTTTAAAATTTAAATATGTTTTATAATTCATGTCGTATTTATATTTTAATAATTTATATTATTATACGTGTCAAACACAATACGGTACTATACAAAAACATAAATTGTCAAATCTATTAAGAAGCGACAAAATTGACGAGTGAATGTGATAGACATTTATTTTTTCCATTAATTATCACTTAGAATATATATATATATGTATATTGTTATATATATATAATTGAAAGGATGATTTATATTAATATAATTTTTGTATTTTTAATTTTTGAATCAATTAAATTTATAATTCATTTAAATCAAAATAATTAAATTTTAATTTAAAATGAAAAAAATATAAAATTTATATTAATATAAATAAATCCTTATTATAGATATATTTTTGGAGATACTCCACTTTTTGTGGGGGAGAGGTGATAACGTGTCTAGTTAATTTCAAATCAATAAATTTATATGTGGAAATTACAGCCTGCCAATCACTAACAAGAGGCTTGTCTATGGTTTTCTAAAGTTGAAAATGACAATTGACAAACGCAATATTAAAAACCATGCATGCACTTCGGACTTTCTGAGTTGGTGCTTGAATTCTGTTAGATCAACCCATGATTCCCTTTTCAAGGAAACTATTTTTTTTAGGTAAGATTACCACAACAATGGTAAACGTTTAGCTATTGTACAATAACAGATAATATACTTAATATTTTAAATACATTGAGTAGTTAAATAAAAAGATAATTTTTTCATCCTTTAAATCTCTCATTTCACCTCCAAAATTAAAACTTAAAACATACAAGTCTTAAAATATATTTCAATTAGTATGAGTTGCTTTTGCATAGATATTTTATCCACGGAACAAGCTATTAGAAGGTCTGTCCAATTCAAATTGAACCAAGATTGCGTTTTAGAATTCGGGTTTAATTCGAAAATAAATTTTATTTTTATTCATTTTTAATTTTGAATTAGGTTTAGAAAAATAAATATTTTAATACATTCTTATAAAAAATTTGAATCTCTAGACTTGATGGGTTGGACTTTGGACAGACCTTTTGAATTATTGATTGAATCTAGTCCAACCATGGAAAGATTTATTTTTGCAAAGTAAAAAAGGGAACTAAAGTTTTTTTTTTTTTTTTAATGTGATTTTACAAGTTTTCTCTTTCCCTTTGCTTTCTGTTCATAACAATAACTCTCCTTTACTAATAATAAATTTTTTTTATTGCATTAGTTTGCAATAATATATAGTTAATAAATAATAAGTTAATAACTATACCTCTTTACTTATACTAGATGATGTAATTAAATTACAAAGATAGGTAATTAATCACCTATAAATTAAATATAACACATTCATTATTTATTTATTTGCATACCCTAGTTGAGACAGAAGATCAAATTTTATGGCTTCTCATGAAGTTAATGTAAAATAATTATTATTATGGTTATATATTTGAAGAAGTTAAAACCCGAACTTTAAACCTAAATGATATCTGTAAAAAAGTGATAATCATTCGCTATTTTCTTCATTAATTATTGCAGTTTTTGAAATATATAATAGAGAACGGAGAGAAGTGTGGATGAAGAGATCGAAATGAAAGAGAGAACTTAGCGGTCTTTTTCTTCTTCTACGACAATATTACCAATTACCATATAACAAGAAACTATTTTGAAAATTTTTTTAGATTATCAGTATAGGCCTATGTAATACTCTGTTGGGTGCTGTAAATCAAAGGCTATAATCCAAGAGCTTTCGCTGCTCCATTAATGGCAGTTGAAAGCCGAACAGTGGTGGATAGTTGTGGTTGACAAGGGTCATGGTGGTAGGGATTTTTTTCTATTTTTTCGGATTAAGGAGCTTAAATCAACCCTAGATTTTCCCTTTTCTTATTGCAGTATTACTAGTCGGAATTATTTGCGACTTTAAATGTTATCTTTTTTTCATTCAACAAAATTCCAAAGAGTTAGTATCCAAATTCATTTAGTTGATTTGAGTCAAATTCAATTTAAAAGTTTAACATTGTGAGATTAAGTTTTAAAAAAAAAATGGAAGAAATGATTTTTAAGCTAAATAATTAAACTATAAAGATATTTATTTTTAGGAGCTTCTAAAATTTTAAATTTGTTTGCTGGTAAGCTGATGATATCTAGTAAATTAGTGTATAAAATATATAAATTATTAGCACATCAAATATAAATTTTAAAAATTTTTAGTATTTTATGTCCAAAATCTTTAATTATATTTGGATTAAGGGACTTTTCTTTTCCTTTTTCTTTCCGATCCAAATAACAAAGGCCTATTCTCTTCTTCCTCCTTTTCGTTTCCTTCATTTTCCTTTGGTTTCCTCTGTAAAAACATTAGCTTAATTAAGGTTGTATAGTTTAAATGTCATATGTGCTTGCGTTTTATTAATTATAACTACCAAAAAATTTTTTTTTCTTCTCAACAAAAACTCTAAACAAGTAATCTTATTTAGGGTGTTCATAATTCAGTTTTAATCAAATTAACTGATTGAATCGATTTAATTCAATTAATCAGTTGATTATCGAATTAATTTCAGTTGGTTAATGAAAATATTTTTGTTTTCAATTAATTTGGTTCAAAAACTAAATTAATCAAAATTTTAATCAAAATATAATATAATTTAAATATAAAATGAAAAACACATGAACTTGATCATTTTATTAAGATGTTGTTAAAGTTTTTAATATAATATTTTGATATTTGAATACTTTATTAAATACTTTTATTTAATTTATTTAAAATATAAAAAATTAAGAGTTTAAAATATAATTTAATTTAAATGTATTTATTAATTGAACAACTGAAAAAATTAATCGAATTGATTAAATTAAATTTGATAAATTAATTTTTAAAATTAATAAATTCGATTTGATTAACAAAAATAAAATAATTTAATTTGATTTTAAATAATTCAATTTACAATTAATCAACTAACCAAATAAACACTCTAATTCTATTACTTTCTCAACATATGGCTTTGAGGTCTCTTAGGAGACACTTCAACAATTAAATTTTAAAAAATTCTAAATTAAAAAAAAAAGGGTGATTTGTAAGACGATAATTAAGAATTACTTCTCATTATATAGAACAAAATCATATGAAAAAATATGTTATTTTGAGATAAATAAATAACAGACTAACTAAACCTATCCACAAATCAAATCAAGCTCTGCTATATTTTATTAATTAAATAATATCTCAAACTAAGCCATATATTCATCTGATTCTCGAACTGGTTTAGATTAAAAATTATTCTAATAAATTATATTCACCGTTGATATATTTGTTAAACTCTACTAACATTTTTAATTAAAATAATTAAAATTAATATAACAAAAGATACACTTGTCAATCTTTTAATTCTGTTTATAAATTTAAAAAATTTTATCTATCAGATAATCTATAGAAGATTAACCAGCAAATTAGGAGGTTTTTACAATTGCATTTAAAGATTTGGGATTGATCTCATTTTTCTATGTTTTAAAGACTAGAGAGAGAAAGGGCCAATCAAAAGGACTTTACATACCGACAATAACATAGGCCCACATGTCGATTCTATTGCCTCTATAAGTCGGCAGTCAACAGCCCTGGTCGATGTGCTGTTAAAGTCTATTAAACAGTAAGTTAACGAGTTGACACTCCACAACCAACTCAGTCAGAGCTCTGTTTTGTTTTTGTTTTATTATTATTACTAAATTATATTTATTTAATATATATAAATTAATTTTGTTTAAAATTACATTTAAATTTTTAAAATTTTTAATATATATATTAATTTATCATTAAAAATTAAATTTTTTGAAAATAATAAAAAATTATCTTTCTTTTGAATATTTTTGTTTACAATAATATTTATACACCTGTAAAATTATATCAAATAAAAATAAATTATATCTTTGTAAAAAAAATAAATATATATTACTGAATGATAAATTAAATAATAAAAAATATTAACACATTTTCACTTTAGTAATCTTGATAAAATTATTATACCAAATTGAAAAATGTTAAAAAATATGTGAAAAAATAAATTGAAAAAAATATTATTTTTCATATGAATGAAACTGTAATAAAAATAAAATATATCTTTATAAAATTTATAAACAAAAAAAATTACAATAGTAATAAAATATATCTTAAAACAAAGCTACTGAAAAAATAAAAAAAAAGTTGATGTATAACATATTACATTTGTAGTCTTAAATTTATAAAATAATTTTTTAGTAGTAATTATAATTAAATAGATAATTTTTAAATTAATTTTTTAAAATGGATATAGTAAATGATAAAGATAATATTAAATTTTTTTATATTTATTTAAAATATAAATTTGATAATTAGAGTTCAAATGAATATAATCATTTTGATGAGCTTATTATTTAAAGATTTAAGATGAAAATTTTTTGAATTTTCAAAATCTTATACAAAATTGCTTAAATTTTTAATATCTTACATAAATTTTTAAAAAAGATAATTTTTAAATCAAGATAAAAAAATTATTGAAAGATTTAGATAAATTTAATTTTTGTAATTTTTAAATTATCTAATTTGTAATTAAAAGAAATTATATTATTCTTTTAAAAAATTATTCTATGTGTCATTTTAAAAAATTATCCACATAAATGCTTATGTAATAAATTTATTTATGTATGTTGTTATATAATATATATATATATCTTAGATTATTATTATTATTATTAGTATGTGTTTATAAATATTTGTTAAGATTAATTAAAAAAATTTTGATTAACTGGTATTTGTTTTTTGTTATTGGTATTATTATGCATTTTCTATTGAATTAAAAAAACATTATTTACATAATTTTTTTCTGTAAATATATTATCATTTTTAATTTTTTTATGATACATTCAAATATTTAACTCAATGATGTTTAATTTCTTAAGCAAAGAGTATCTGTCAAGTCCTCTTTTTTTCAACTCTAATCATCTGATTGAGTACCCCTGTCAAAGGCTGCCCAGCCAATCATTTCGCGTTGTACGACTAGCTAGGGCTACCAATAGCCTCGATTCTGAAATATTTTCCTTGCGACCATAAATATTTGTAATATAATAATTAATTTCTTTTCATGCAATTTCAAAGGAAAAAGAAAAGAAGCTTTTTTTAATACAATAATTTATTTGATGTTTTTGTTTCTTATGAATTAACGGTTTATGTTATTGATTGTTAGAACCATTAACTGAAGAGTAACTAATTTTTTGGATTTGTCTTTTGTTGTTTGATTTAGTAGTTAAATTAGTCTTAAAAAGACATTAAGATTAGGGATTGAACCTCAGTTTTTTCTTTTTTCCTTTATGTAAGGTTTAATTCCCTTTGAATTACTAAAAAATAATAATAATAATTTTTTGGATTCAAATTAACTTGTAATTTTTTTTAATTAATTAAACAATAACTTACAATTATTATATATCTATTAGCATCTATACACTGCATATCTTATAAAACAAATTAAGGATTAACTTTTTTTTCAATTTCTTTATCAAGATTAACTTAAAATAATACATGAAGGGATTTAAGGATCCTTTTGACACGTGGTGGAAGGAATTCCCACAGCGTCACAACTGGTTTTGATGATTGCATTCCTTCCTCTTACCATGCTGATGAGTTTGGTCGACAATTAACAAACTTGGACGGAAAAAAAAATCATTTGAAGAAAGAGACGCTTACATGTGGACGACATGGCAGGTGTTGTTATGGTCGAAGGAGCAATCACAGGTAACATTATTAGCATAATTAGATTTGGGTTCTACGGTTTCTTCCCAACTCTGGTGTCCACTGCACGGATCAATATCAAAGTTCCAGTTTGTCTTCCCCAAAGTCTTACCTATGCTTTTCAAAGCCTCCACTATACATACACATATATACTAAAATAAGGGTGAAAATTATAAAAGAAAAGAAAAAGGAAAAAAGAATTAAGCCAAGTTCTTTATCTCTAAACTACTTTGATTAATTACCTTCATCACTTGCAAGTTTAGCTCCTAAGTTTAGCTCCTAATGAAAAAGTTGTAAGGCAACAAGCAATTGAACATTGAAGCAAAAACAAGTTAAGGAAAGAACATCTTGGACTATCGTTGAAGAGGAACTGAAGATCTCCTTTGCTTGTTTTGAATGAAAGAAAAAATGGCATGAAAGATTGGGTTTTAATAAATATGAATATGAAAGTCGGAAGTTTCTATGAAATGAAACAAAGGCAAGAAGAAGAAAATTATTTTGGCCGCCTTAATAGCGAAAAAGAGAAAGGGAGTGAATACTTTTTGGTTTGAGATAAGAGATAAGTCAATTCTATGTTTGTATGACTTACCAAAAGAAAATGTTGTCGTATAGTGGCAACTTGTATAAATATCATGCATGAAAATTTAATGAAACAAGGTCATATATATATTATATAATGATGGATTTTGAAGTCCAGCTTCTTTTATTTAATGGTTTGTACGTAGTTGTCCTCGAGAATATTATCTTTGTAGATATAAGTGACGATAAAATGTAAAACTTCACATTCAATGTAATTGCAACTATTGTTAGGCCGGGGCAATTAAAAATGAGAATTACACCTAACCATTTCACTCAAATATGATTGCTAGATATATGCATTTTTCTCTTATTAAAGTCGAGCTCATATTTTCTTTTTTTTTTCTTTATTTATAATTAGGAAACAATATATTTAAAGGTTATAAAAAATAATTGGATATCATGATATGTATACATTTTTAGTGAAATGTAAAAACCTATAAAAATGAGTTTATATTTATAATTATATATATATATGACTAGGTTTTTACATTTGTAAATATGGAGATATCTCCAACTCTAGTGATGTTGAATTTGGCACTAGGAATTTCTGAGTGAATCATGCATGTCAATGATTGCCATTGATTTCGACTTAAAGAGTCTCCCACAAATATTATGCTCTTCCCTCTAAACTTTTCTAGGAACTCCGATGCATTAAATCTACAAAAAGAAAAAAAACATATATAGTACCACGTGTTTCGATTAATCAAACCAAGTCAATGCATTAAATCCAAAGACTATTTTTGGATATTAAGACTTAAAATTTTCCAACAGCTTTTTAACATGATTTTTCGAAAATATTTAATGAAATTTGAATATGTGATTCAATAATAAGTGCTCATATTTTTTGTTTAAGAAGCGATTTTAATTTTTAGTTCCTAAAAAGATTTTGTTTAACATCATTTAATTTCAGTGCGTTTGGATATATTTATATTTAAGAAAAATTGATGAATAAAAAATAAATGATTTTATAAAAAAGAAAAGAAAATAATTTCGCAGTTTAAACCTTTACAAATCATCAATAAAAATCTTGAAATGTTTTCAAATTTTAGTCTATGTTGCATGGCAATTTTTTTTTTTTTTTTTAAAGAGGGAATTTAAATTTCCAAAACTTAAATCGAAGGATATAAAAGAAATAAGATAAATATCAGGGGCAGAAAAGGGAATATGAAAAAGAACCCCACCGTAGATCTCGTGAAGTTGACAGTACGAAAAACACTTCCGTACCCACGTGCTAGAGAATCTATGTCAATTATACATCATATTTATAATTTTTTTTCCAGAAAAGAAAATACACAAGTATTCCACGCTCTTTTAAGGAGTGTGGGAAGAACATGACCAATCACATGTTAGAATCTTTCCACATCAACCGAAAAATAGATAGATTCGTATATCTTAATCTATTTGAATGTGTTTTTATTGTATTTTATTTGTGTTAAATATATATAAAATATAAAAATTATTAAATTATAATTTATATTAACTTTTTAATTTCACTATATTTATATGATTTTTATTTTAAAAATATTATTTTTATATTTTTGTTTAAAATTATTAAATTAATGATAAGAAAGTGACATTTCTCCACTCACTTTGGAAGTCAGAATATTTCACGTGATGTCTGAAATGAAAGTTCATAGCTTTGATGTTGCTTTATTAGTGGGAAGCAGATTTCGATTCACTTTTTGCGCTTGGCTCGGAAGATGATGTTTTATTATCAATAATTAGATTATAATTCAGATAATGCACGAAATAATTTTATTTATTTAATATAAATATATATAAATTATTTTTTTAAAATTATATATAAATATTTAAAATTCATAATATATATAAATTATATATATTGATTTATTGTTAAAAAATAATTTTTTTGATAATAACAAAAAAATTATGCTTTTTCTTTAAATATTTTTGTTTACAATAATATTTATAAACTTGTAAAATTATATCTAATAATTTTTTTTAAAAAAATAAAAATATATATTATTGAATGATAAATTAAATAATAAGAGAAGTATTAATACACTTTTACTTTAGTAATTTTGACTAAATTATTATATACAATATAAAAAATATTAGAAAATATGTGAAAAAAGAAAAAATAAATTGAAAAAATTATTTTTCATAAGAATGAAACGATAATAACAATAATATATCTTAGAAAAAATTTATAAACAAAGAAAATTATAATAATAATAAAATATACCTTAAAAAAGTTACTAAAAAAATTGATATATAGTACACTATATTTGTAGTCTTAAATAAAAGAAATATTAACACATTTTCACTGTAGTTATCTTAACTAAATTATTGTAGAAAATATGAAAAATGTTAGAAAAATATGTGCAAAAAGAAAAAATATATTTAAAAAATATATATTTTTCATAAGAATAAAAATGTAATAACAATAAAATATATCTTAGAAAAAAATTTATAAACAAAAAAAAAAAAATTGCAATAGTAATAGAATATATCTTAAAACGTTATTGAAAAAAAAAATTAATGTGTAACACATTGTATTTGTAGTCTTAAATTTGCTTTAGTAACAATCGAGATTAAATAGATAATTTTTAAATTTTAAAATAGATATAATAAGTGATAAAGATAATATTAATTTTTTTGCATTTATTTGAAATATAAATTTGATAATTAGAGTTCAAATAAATATAATCATTTTGATAATCTTATTATTTAAAGATTTAAGATGAAAATTTTTTGAAATTTCAAAATCTTACATAAAATTGCTTGAATTTTTAATATCTTACATAAATTTTTTAAAAACATAATTTTTTAAATCAAGATAAAAAAAATTATTGAAAGATTTAGATAAACTTAATCTTTGTTATTTTTTAAAATGTTTGAAAATTTTTTATAATTAAATAATTTTTTAAATAAGGTTATTTAATAAACAATTAAAATTATTTATTAAAAAAATAAAATCTATATTTCATATTTTTTATTTTAGAATATATATCTATAAATCAATTTGATTTTTAATTATGATTTGAATAGTTTTGATATTTGAATAAATTTAAAATTATCTAAGTTATAATTAAAAGAAGTTATCTTATTCTTTTAAAAAATTATGTTATGTGTCATTTAAAAGAATTATTCATATAGGTGTCTATATGGTAAACTTATTTATGTATGTTATTATATAATATATATATATATATATATTAAATTAGATTGGCGTTCATTTAGGCTTGGTGAGTACAGCCTACATTAAAACAGTGCCAACCCAAAAACTAAATTTACCGCAACTACAATAAATTTACCGTATCAGTGGTGACCCCTATCTTCCCAAACTAGCAAAATGACAATATCTCAGTACTGAACTGGCATAGCAAAAGTCAGCTCCCATAACCTTTCTTTCCCTATCAATTGGAGACAATACCTACTTTTAGTGAAAAAAATGGAGGCTAAAGAGCAATTTATACATCAACCATACATCCACTAACCTTTTTCTTTCCTTTTTCCAACAAAGAATATAGCAAATTATTGTTCACGGGAGAGGATAGAGAAAGAGACATAGTAACGGAAATATAGAATGAGGTACCTTGTCAAGGTGCAATCAAGAGGTTACCATCGGTATTGAGTGTAAAGCAGATCTTGGCGTCCATTTTTTTGGCAAGTGAACTCTCTTTCAATGAAAGGGCAAGCAGAGGCAGAGTAGAGAGGGTAAGATGGATCAAAAACCCACACACCTTTAAACAAATCACAGCCGTCGGCAGAGACATTGGTGGAAACATTTCCCTGGAAGCAGACCAGAACCAAAACCAGGAAAAAAGATGGTGAAACAAGGAAATGGGAATGAACCCAGACTCCCATTTTGCCAGTTAACTCTCTAAGTAGGGAGAGAGAGGAACAATGACAGAGAGAAAGACAGAAGAGAAAGAAATATAGACTTTTGTTTTTTCAAAGAAGAGAAAAAATATGGGACTTGGGACAGGGAAACAGGGAAACAGGGAAACAGGGAACAACTCTCTCTGAGCTGTGTTCTGGTCTGGACTGGCCCTGTTTTTTTTTTTTTTTTTAGTAGGAAATGGCCCTGTTACAACCTTATATGGTAAGTGGTTGTTGTTTTCATTTGATATTTGATCATTTTATATCAGACTTAAATAAGCTACCTATATTTTCCCATTTCTAGGTTGCGTCATAGCTGTTTGGTATCACAAATGTTTCGCCTTTTTTTACTCTTCTACAAAAAAAAAAAAATGTAGGCATTTAATTTTTTTAAACAAAATAAACGTGGGCAAATCAATCCGAACTGTAAAGTTCTTATGAAAATAATTGGATCCGAAGCCATTCAATAATAAATTGATAAAAAAAATCAAAGGCTCAAATTAAAATGACAAATACAAAATTTTTTTAATTCAAAATTATTCAAATTCAAATTTAACCAAACTCCAAATTAATCCAATATGAATGATGGAACATAAACTCTCCAATCACCACCTTCACAAAGTAATATCGAACTCAATGGTATTGATGCATTGCTTTGAATGAGAACAATTATCACTTTCTAAACTCTTTTTTTAACAACAGTTATAAGTCTAACACATTAAAAACAGTTAATCATCGTTACGAATCTACAAAAAAAGAAAAAAAGAGAGAGAAAATAAAGAGGTGAATTATTAAGATCTTATGAAAAAAATAATGTGATCCAAATATAGAGACTGATATTTTTACATCCTTGTTACAGCAGATCTTGGAAAAATGAAAGACAGAGACAAGTGTGGAAAACGAGTGACAGCAGGGGACACAGCTTTTAATTTTATGCAAGTGTTTTGGGAGGTGAAAATGAAATCTTAATTTGCTCGCTAAAGGGTAAAAAAGCTGTTGAACATAAATTCAACAATTATCTAAGTTTTTTTTTTAATTTTATTATAACTAATTAAATTATCAAATTTTTATTTTTATTAGATAAAAATTGATTAAACGTTAATATTTATTTTAATCTAATCAATGGCTCAATTGGAATGAAAATAAACATTTTAGAGTTTAATTGGATGAAAAAAATATTTAAAAATTTAACTAATTTTAAATAAAAAATTTATGACTTAATTTATTACAATTAAATATGAAAAGTTTAAACGGTTTTTAAAATTTTATTCAAAAGTTTTTTTTTAACTCTTTTACCTAATTTGCTTTATGATTGAATCTTATATAGATGATCATAAAATGATCTCACGGCACGTTGGAGTCTCTTTTATAGTATTGCTTAAGAGTTTTATTTGGATAAACGATTATATTAGTTTTGATGAGAATAGAAATAATAATTAAAAGTGATATTGGTTACTGTAGCAGTAAGAGTAAAATCAATAATGAAAAATGTATTTGAATATAATAACAAAACGATACCATGAATTGTAAGGAGAAAAAAAACTATTAAAAATATTGACTAAAAATTATATGTAATAAAAATTTTAAATTATCTAATATTTATAAAATTAATAAATAATTTATAATTATTAAACTGTTTTTAAATTAAATAATAATTTTGTTAATAAATAATTAAATTTTATTTATTAATTTATTATATAATAAGATAATTTATTAATTTATTTATTATATCATAAAATTTATTTTACGTTAAGCTAATAAAATTGCTATATAATTTTTAAATAAAAAATAAAAAATAGAAAAATACGTCTGAAGTATTAAAATTAGTAGCTCAAAGAAGAGAAAAGGAATAATAATAATAAAGCAATTATTGCGGTGAAAACAAGCTATAAATCATTCTGCATCACTACGTTAATTGTTTAGATTTTAAAGTAACGGTTAACATATCTTTTCACAATAATTGCACTTCTATTCGAAGATGATAACGATTTTAATTGAATTTGATTCAGTGTTTTTATATTGTATAATATTATAAATTTTTAAATTTTGATATTTTTATGTGATTTAATATAAATTAAATTTTATTAGTTTAATTCGATTTAATTTATCGATTTTTGAAATTTAATTTTTTTAATTTTTTATATATTATTTTAATATAAAAATTAAATAAAATTTAATATATTTTGATATAAAATTATTATTTTTATTTTATAAAAATATGAAAATTAATAAAAATATATAGTTTGATTTGATACGGTTTGATTTTTTTAAAATTTTTCATTTTTATCCTAAATTTAATATATCTAAATTTAATTAATATATTTAATATCTAAATATAATATACGTCAAATTAAAAAAATTATTTTACGCTAAGCTAATAAAATTGCTATATAATTTTTAAATAAAAATCAAAATAAACAAATAAAAAAAATAGGTGTGCAGTACTGAAATTAGTAGCTCAAAGGAGAGAAGAAGAAAATTAATTAATAAATAATAATAAATAAAGCAATTGTTACAAAAAAATAAGGTGTAAATTGTCCTACACCACTACATTAATTGTTTAGATTTTAAAGTAGCAGTTGACATATTTTTTCATAATAATTGCACTTTTATTTGAAGATAATAATGATTCCAATTAAATTTGATTTAGTGTTTTAATATTGTATAATATTATAAATTTTTAAAATTTGATATAAATTTAAATTAAATTTTTGTATGATTTGATTCAAATTAAATTTTATTAATTTAATTCGATTTAGTTTATCGATTTTTGAAATGTAAATTTTTATTTTTTATATATTATTTTTAATATAAAATTTTATTATATTTTCATATATTTTGATATAAAATTATTATTTTTATTTTATAAAAATTTAAATATATAAAAATTAATAAAAATATATAGTTTGATTTGATATGGTTTGATTTTTTTAATTGTTTATTTTTTATCCTAAACTCAATGTATCCAAATTTAATTTATGTATTTAATATCTAAATTTAATCTACTTCAAATAAAAAAATTATTTTTTGTTAATATAATAAAATTGCTGTACAATTTTTAAATAAAATTCACAATAAAAAATAAAAAATAGGTGTGAAGTACTGAAATTAGTAACTCAAAACAAATTTATTTTACGTTAAGCTAATAAAATTGCTATATAATTTTTAAATAAAAATCAAAATAAAAAAATAGGCATGAAGTACTTAAATTCGCAGCTCAAATGAGAGAAAAGGAATAATAATAATAATAATAATAATAATAATAATAATAATAATAATAAATAAATAAATAAATAAATAAATAAATAAAGTAATTGTTACAGTGAAAATAAGCCATAAATCGTCATGCACCACTATATTAATTGTTTATATTTTTAAATAGCGTTTGACAAATCTTTTCATGATAATTATACTTTTATTCGTGTCGTAACGATTTTGAGATCGTCAGACGTAAAAAAATTTTAAAATCGAAAAAAATAAAAGAGTAGTCACCACCAATCTTTGTTAGGGTGCGATTGATCATAAAAAAATTTATCATTTTAATAAAACTATAAAAAACGGGTTTAAAATTTATCAAAAAAATAAATTTTGATCTACGAAAAACTAGGTTAGGTCCGGGAGTCGGTTACGCGTGGAGAAGGATTAATACCCCTACAACGCCTATAAATTGGTATAATTTAATTACGTGCTATTTTCGGTGTTTGATAAAAATAATTTTAATTTGAAATTTAACACTAATTCCCTTCAATTGAAAAAATAAAATTTTGTTAAAAATTTTTATTTAGAACTATTGAAAAAATCTTTAAGTTAAAGAATTATCTTAAAATTCTCCAACATCTAGGTAGAATTTAAAATAACTATTTTCATTTAAGATTTAACACAATAATCCTTAAAATGAAATAACAATCTTTATAGAAAATAATTGTTAGTAACTCTCCAACATCTAGGCAGAATACCAATAATTATTTCTTTCGAAATGTTATTTTTATTTTATAATATCACAAAAATTTTTTTTTAAGTATTATTTTTTTTTTATTATAAAATATTTTATCATCGAACAGTAAATTAAAGAGAGAATAATGCAGACAATTATCGATGATAACATGCTAATGTATGTATGCTAATGTATGTCATGTAAAATGAATTACAATTTAAGAGTTAGATTTTTAAGTATAATGAGACCACCTCGACTCTCCAACATCTAGGCAGAGCTTAGGTGCGACTGTTTATATTTAAGATTTCAATTTTTTATTATGCTTTTTATTTATTAATCTTATTATTAATGTAAATTAAGAAATCGTGTGAAAAGACATAATGAAGTAAAATTTCTTAAATACCCCATCATCTAGACGGCATTCGGGAACAAATTACTTCAAATAAAATTTTCACACGTGTCCTTAGGATTTTAAAGATGTTTAGGATGTTTTGAGTGAGGGCTTGAGTAGAGGTTTTAAAGATTAAGGTTTCGAGATTTTGAAGATTCGGATTTTAAGGGTTTGGATTTAAGTTTTGAGGGCTTTAGGGTTTGGTTTTAAGGTATGGAAGGTTTAAGGTTTTGATTTTAGAGTTTGAAGATTTTAGGATTTTGGTTTTAAAATTTGAAGTTTGGGGTTTTGATTTAAGGGTTTGGATTTAAGAGTTTAAAGGTTTGAGATTTCGGATTTTAAGGGATTTTTAATTTTAGGGGTTTTGGATTTTAGGGGTTTGGATTTAAGGGTTTAAAGGTTTCGGATTTCAGATTTTATGGGCTTTTGGATTTGAGGGGTTTCGGATTTTAGGGGTTTTGGATTTAGGGGTTTCAAAATTTAGAATTTTGGATTTTAAAATTTTGGATTTTAGGGGATTTTGGATTTTAGGGGTTTAGATTTAAGGAGTTTTAAAAACCTATGATTTTGAAAATTAAAAAATAG